GGTGATGTCATGACGTGTAAATTTAACACGAGCCGAGCGAGCAAGTCACAAGTAAGGGCGTTCAAAGCTTGTTACCAGGCACCGCGTTTCGAACACCCCTAACAACTTCCTGTCGCTTCAGACTGGTAGCCGTCGGAGCTTAAGTGGGGTTTGGTTCCGGCGCCGGAACAGCCGACCTTACAGGTTTCATAGCGGACCCTCGGTCACCCTTGTACAGGAAGCGTCCCGCGTGCGGCTACTGCTAATAGGGGAACTTATCAACCGAGAACCTTCGTCAAAGGAGCGCTTAACTCTTTGCCGGTTGTTACACTTAAGCCGGTGTTTCTTTCAGGGGCGTTTATTAGTGAAGACTAACCGACAACGGAAACTTACTGCTTTGATGTCTTGATACACGGGACGACCATTCCGACTGTGTGCAAAGACTACGTGCCGCTGCATCGCCTGCATATTTCCGACCATGCCCCAAAAAGCCACAGATAAAGCTCTGCTAAGCAGGGAGGGCCCACCCAGCATACGACCTTCGTGATGTGAAGCCAGCGATAGACTGGACGCACAGAAAGAGACCAGAGTCCAGGCGCTCCTCGCACCTGGCAATGCGGTAGTCAGTGACTCTATACCTTCGACTTCAGCTCCATATCTCTGTCGCGTCTTACCGTGAGCTGATAGAGGACGTGTGTCCTCTCTCTGCTGAGTGTTGAGAGATAAGAGAACTCTGTCTCCTCGATCGCTCGCAGGGACGAACACACTATACACTTGCTGGTTAATGGAACTCCCGTACATAGTGTAGCACATGTCCGTGAACGGTGGCGAAACTGACTAGAAGGTGTTAATGGCTCCCACCACTGCTTCTCCTGACGGTACGTCCGATTCGAGTTCTCTGTCCACTTCTGGTCCATTCTTCGCGCGTCTATACCTACAACTGGAGTATATATACCTACCTGACCACACTGATCTCGAGACGCAGCGCGTTGTTAAGACTGAACTGCGTGTGTCTAACGGGGGTGTCTGTGTAGGACAATTCTCGAGTAGAAAGATACTACCTTTTTTGGAATCTTCATCGTTGAGCTGTTGATTGTAATGTTAAGGTCTTGGCAAAGTTTTTTGTGGGTTATTTATTTTGGGGTGAAAATACCGGTCGTCTGGGCGCGCAAAGTTTTAGTCGAACAGATTAGTCGAGGTAGATGGTTGAAATACGCGACCGCGGTACGCGAGCGCGTATTCACCGTCTAGGCGTAGTGACATTCATATATGTAGGCGTCCGACGCAGTCACGAACACAAGAAGTGCCACCCTTGTTTGGAGTCTTCCACGCCAACCGTACGTCGTTAGGATAGGGCGCGACTGTTCCGTAACGTGTGTAGTAAACGGAGTGTTGTTAGGCGGTCGAGACGATGCGTCGTAGTCTTGTGTCCGAAGTGCTACCTATTTATGTAAGCGACGTCGTTTCGTATGTGTTGGTAAATATGTTACTTTGTTGCATTTGTTATCACCAAAAATGTGTTCCGTGAAAGTAAAGCAAGTTCATAATTAGATAGACATCTTGAGGTATTTATTTTCGGTACAGTTTATGTTGAAACTGTTAGAGAGAGTGGCACACTTGTTAGCCTGTTCCATTCTTCTTTGTTTTCCGAAGCCGTGGCATGGAAGTATACTTGCTTCGTTTCTGAAGGAAGTGACTTGGAAGTATGCGACTACCAAGCCAGTATACTCGCGATTGAGAAACGGCCGTTGAATCGGCCGCGGGAGGTGTGAAAATGTACCGTAAAGCAACGACGGTGCGGGACCTATGTGCGGGACACACCAACCTGAATAGGGCGCCGTGAATGCCCGACTGCCTCTGACTGCCTCTGACGGCCTCTGACTCCCAAAATCAGGTAGGTGTGTCAGGGCCTTAAAGGTCATTACACACCAAGCCAATTTTCGGCGTCAATAGATGTCGATAGATCGGCGATTAGCGTCGTGTCGCCCTACTCAGATTGGTGTGTCTTGGTGTGTACTGCACCGTCGGGTCTTTTCGGCCGTGCCGACATCTTCCGCCGCTGATTCGACATGTTGTATTGGGAGGCCGTCGGCCAAAGAAATCACTCTGATTTGGCTGTTCAGCTTAGCAAATCAAACAAACGAATAAGTAGTCACACACAGACGGCTATTCTTTTTAATTTTCATCTCACCTGGACGCAAGAGTTTATTTTTCATCATGGCGATCTGGAATGATGAAACCGAAGACCAATTTATCAGCTACATCCAGGAGAGGCCAGCTCTGTTCGACATTACAGAGAAACTGTACGAGAACCGCATAGTGAAAACCGGACTCTGGCGAGAGATTGAAGCTCTACTTGGTTTATCAGGTATGATTCTCTTTTTTTTTCATCATTTGAGCTCTTTAGCAGAAACTGTTGGTTTGTTATTGTTTGCCAGCGTACAGTGATGTTAACGTGAAATATAATTTTATATTTCAACCTTGTGTTTTGTTGTTATTTTTTGCTAGCTGTTGCTACTGGTTTGGCACTGCATATAGATATGAATTGGACATGCTTACTAGCCACAATGCTTAAATAGTTTATTTGTGTGCTTCAGAGAAAGAGCTCAATAAAAAGTGGGATTCTCTGCGAACCCAGTACACCCGGTACAGGATAATTGCACCATCGGGTAGTTCTGGAACACTAAAGACTGGCAGACAGCAGTGGATCCTGACCAGGCTGCAGTTTCTAGAGCCCTACACAAGAAGGAAGGAGAGTACTTCGAACCTCACCATCACGGTAACTATTTTATTTGTTGAGTAAAAATAAGTGTTTCTTGCTTCTCTCATTTACAAAAACATTATTTCATTCATTTGCAGTGGTAAATATAACAATAACAGAATAATATATATTATTGTATTATAATGATTGATGGATTAATGTGCTCATTGCCATGTGGCAGCTGGTAAAGGAGGAGCTGATTTAAATTACATTATATACTGCTGGGTAGCTTATGAAATTCACCATGGGATCAATAACGTTTTTATCTTAACCTATAATAATAGCTAATACATGATAAAATATGTCTTGATTATATTTTGTATTGTTCTGAATCTTCAAAGTTACTAAAGTTATCAAATAATTAAGTACACTATTGCCCGAATGGGAGTGGAGCAGTACAGTTCTTAAGTAAATGTACTTTTTTACTGTCTACCGCTGTTCATTGTTCAAGATTAAAATGTAAATTTGCAAGACGGTTACCGCCCCTATTCACATGTTGCCTTTCATACGTGATGGTGGCTCCTTCTCCCATTATCTTCCACAATCTGTCTAGAAGTATGCTTTTAGCATCTGAATAGAGCCATCACAGTTTGTCTACAATGTGCCTCTCACACTTGACCTCACCCAAACTAATGGCACACACATTCAGGGTATTGTTTTGTTGTGAATGCTTAGTAAACAGTTTTAAGAATCCATGGTATTAAATCCAACTAATTGTGAATTTATTTTAAATTGTTTAAGGAACCTCAGGTGCCTGCAGAATCACCTGATGGCACCAGCAGTGAAACCTGGACCAGCACCACTGAGGAGTCCTTCCTCTTTGAGGCTGAGTCAAGGCCCTGCACTCCCCTGGCAGAATCCAACATCTGTGGAACAGAGTCCACACCGGCACCGCTCGGAGAGGGGCCAAGCCTACTCAGTCAGTTAAGCACTCCAAGGACTCCGGTGAAGCGCGGCAGGAAGATGCAGGATGAGTCCGCCAGTAAGGCGTCAAAAATATTGATGCACAAGATTGGAACATTTTACTTCCACGGGTGAACATAACGAGGACATCGCGGCCCATTCAAAAGTGTTTGAACACAGACTGCGGCAGTTGTCACGTAATGTGCTGCCACACTTCCTGCATGATGTGGAAAACATCTTCTTTAGGTATTTAAAGGTCTTAGACAGCTTGCCCTGTCTTACTCTGTGGTTGGAGACAGACAGACTGACTGCCCTATATGCATGCATTTACGTCTGAGTGCCCTACAGTGTGCATTTCGGAAGATAGGCTGTTTCATCAGCAACAAAGATAATGAAAGAGCTGACAAACTGTGCTGTAAATTGAACTCATTCTGTCAAACATGAATATGTGTTTTTAATGTGCAGAGGTTTACCAAGTCTGATGTATTTCTTTTAAATAATGGAAGGATGAATACAGCTAAAGAAACCTGAATCAAGCGTTGTTTTTTTTCACCAAAATGCTCAACATCTGGACAACCCTGTTTTACACCTTCTGAAGTAAGAAAACCCTGACCAATCAGTATGATTCACTGGTTCAGCCGTAAACATAATCCTTCATCCACTTCCTGAATGGAAACAGTACCAGGAGAAGACGCTACATTATTAACATTTGATTGTGTTTTAGTTTCGGTTGCTTTTATTATATGGACAATAATTAAAAGAGGCATATTTGTCTTGGGCAATGCGCACCACAACATTAAGCAACTTTAATAAAAAAACCTCTCTTTTTATAGTTTCTTTTTTTGTTAATCCTCAGCCACACATTCTTTATCTATTCTTCTTACACACATCAGAGACGTTTGACATTGACAACACGGCAGCTTTTAAATAACATCTATATGAATTAAAGTGCTAGTGTATTTATTGCCATTGCTTTACTTTTATTAAAACATTTATCATTAGAGTTCAGCTTGATGGAGGCTTGACAAATGATAGCTTCAAGCATTTTAATTTAAACTTTGGCAAGCAAAAAAGTCCTTGTGATGGCGGAGGTTCAAATCCTTAGATTAGTTTATGGCAGTACAATTAAACCCAACCCATTAGTGAATCAGCAGCCAGTCAAGAGACATAAACAACAAAAAGCAGCTTTTTTATATCCTCTCCACTATCCATCTTTTGTATTGATCAGGATATATTTTTAATTGAAATGTTATGCAAATATAAATGTAAATGTGACACATGAAAGCAGAGAGAAATGCCTAGAATGGCATTACATCTAGTGAGTGAAGGGCCTTCAAGTAACAGACATCAGGACAAAAATAGATACATATAAAAAGTGTTTTTTTCCCCTTTACATTCTATTATATATTTGATACGTCTGAGATCCAGATGTGGAAACCAGGCAAAAGACATTGCCTGTAAAAAGTTTAAGTGAAAGTGGCGTGAAAAGAGAATAATAAAACATCAAAGAGTGGGCGGTGTGGTGCCATTTGATTTTTAACCTCTGAAGACCTGCCTCAGCACAGAATGACCCTTGATCCGTAATATCCTCAGACTCCCAGATCCGTGCGCTTTCACTCCGGCCCACGCATGTCACAGCCCCATATTTATGGACCATGTCTTATCACAGTGTCCACCTGTTCTTTTACTTCTCTCTGCTAAAAAGTTTAAATTCTTCTCATAAATCCTCGCATTTGAAGTTTCTTCACGTTTAGGTGAATGCAACAAACTACCAAAGACTGAGTCACAGTTGTAACCACAAAACATAACGCACTACCAGATTCTTAAACCGCACTTAAACAAATATACTACTTAAAGATTTTTTCTATTGCCATCTACTGAAAGAGTACATGGAGTACTTGTTTGCACAAGGGCAAGATAAATATTCAGATACAGACCCAAAGGACTCAAAGAAGCAAGGAATAACCCAGAAAAAAGAAAATAAAGACAACACCTGGCCTCTGGTGCTTATTAACACCTCTCACAGTAAATAACAGGGCGAGTATGAATTAACATTTTATGATGAGTTTTTTAAATGACTTAAGAACAAATATTTGGAAATGTTAGATTTAAAAGAGGAAGAGATATCATACATGCCTCAAACGGGCACGTGCAATAACTGTCTCACATGCCTGAGAAGGTCTGCTGGGTTGGCCTATGTTTCTGATGACAGTGTGTGTGTGTGTGTGTGTGTGTGTGTGTGTGTGTGTGTGTGTGTGTGTGTGTGTGTGTGTGTGTGTGTGTGTGTGTGTCTGTGTGTGTGTGTGTGGTGTTACTGCCTGGCCTCTGACCTAAACCACATGATGCAGTCCACAGATCATTAGCACTCATTCATTCACTCTATCTCCACCAGGCTGTATGTCACTGTTGCCATCTATTGGATACATGAGTTCATATCCCTGCATGTGCAACTCCCATGGAACATATGTCATGCTGGTTTTAGCTTAATTTTATATTTACAATGGTAGTGTGGGTAAAGTTGTAAACGATAGTTGTACATTCAAAGTATCCGTCTTCATCGGTACTTCTGTTTCTTATAGGACTAAGTAGAAAAATATTCACTTTAAATTATATATAAAAGCCCTTTTTACTTAGTATATCTGCAACAAATATGTGTATACTTTGATCAAATTCTTAGAGGCGGCCATTCACGTATGTTTTCTGTTAGCATCTTGTGGGGAGTAAATCAGCTGCAAATCCTATAATCTTCATCATCCATCATAAGGATGAGTCCATGTCACAGAGGAGAATCAAAACCTCAGCAAACAGCACAAGTTTGCACCAAAGCTCATCTTTACGCATGCATACTGGTAAATACACTGTATTAATTATAAACATTGATGTCTTTTTAAAAACCAGGTCTGCTTCTGCTTTCAGCAACACAACCAACCCACCGCAGAGGAGTCTTTTGAGCAGCAAATAGTTGCAATAACTCAGAAGGAGAAGATGTAAAAAGAAAAAAAGGGAATAAAGTTACAGGCGTAACGGAAAGTATTGCAGGGAGGGACATATCTGAGCCTTGTGGAATCAAAGCGACAACTTGTCACTAAAAATAGAAAATGTGATATTTTATTTATTATATACTCACACTCGCACATGCACAAACACACACGGAAACGCATACACCAAAATCTCTATGTATTAGTCCTACTGAGAGTTCACGTATTGGACTGTGTGTGTGTGTGTGTGTGTGTGTGTGTGTGTGTGTGTGTGTGTGTGTGTGTGTGTGTGTGTGTGTGTGTGTGTGTGTGTGTGTGTGTGTTTGTGTGTCTGTCTACATATATTTGGAAAGTGCACACCTTGCTCTGTCAGAGTGAAGAGCTCTGCCTTGCACAGTCTTAGAAGAGATTTAGTCTCAGGTAGCAAATAATAGCTGGTGACATTATCACTTATATCAGCAAGCTGCCCTCATGCATATCACTGTATTATTTGTGGGCTGCCAAATGGAACTTTTGTGTGCAAACTGCAGCGTGCCACATTTAGTGTATAGCAGAAAAGTGAGATAAACCCATACACATTTATACATTTCGGTAGTTATTAAAGATAATGTATGTTTCTACAAGGTGAGATTATAATAAAAAATAGCAAAAATAAGATGCATTTTAAATGTTTTGTATGTGTCAGACTCCATCTAATGTTGTATTTTGATTTCAACCCAGGCAGCATCTTTCAAAAAATAATTAAGTTCATAGTCAAATATACTGTATGCATACAGCAGGGTTTGAGTTCATAGACATGACATGTGCCAAGGCTTTTCTGCAATGCACTATTTGTACAGCTGAAAACAGCTGCCTGCAGCATTTAGAAACAACATTGATGAAAGTGGGGAAAGCAAACCAATACACCAAGGCCATAAAACCAACCTACTTCATATACACACGCATTCATTTGATCCATTACTGATATTAAAATATTGATTATAAATAATAATATACCTTATACTATTGATAATGTGTGCCAGTCCATTGTTGGATTCAATGTTTGAAATGTATTCTAGGATTCAGAGCTTTAAGCTAATGCAGCACTGCACACCTGTGTTTCCTGTGGATCATAACTGAGGTGAACTGCATGTTAATGGTTGTGAGTTTGAGTCTCTGTTCCAGGTCCACAGGGAGTTGTTGGTTCAGGTAAATGATGGCAACGACTTAGAGCTCTTAAACACACCATGAATTTATTACTCGGGCTGTAAAAACGCACATGTTATCAATAAAGTTGATTGACAGGGAGAATGTACACCATCTTTTGTGTTAAGTAGTATGCATGAGCAGAGTCTGATACAAGACAGAAAAAGGTTAGGGTCAGGGTATAGAACAACTCTGAGATACGCTGAAGCAGTATGCAGTAAATGTATGAAAAGTAGTGATCAAGCTCGCTACTATCTTGTAGTCTGCCGGCAGTTTCCTGCTTGTGAATTGGCAAAACACTCAAAACACGTCAAGCACAGAGCAAATAGAATATTTTAAAATATGAAAAACATTTTAGAAAACACATTTCTTTCAATTAAAGATGATGATTTTGTCGTCGCAGCAAAGAGTGCACCAACATCTTTTTCAATTCCTCCCGTATCACTGTTGCCTGAACTCATCTTTGAGCTTGGTTGAGTCAAACTGTCAGCTGATTACAAAATGTGGCATTTGAGACCCCTTTACAGAATTAGAAATTGTATCTTCAAGTAGCTAAATATAAACCTAAACTCAAGACTTCTAGTGTCATTGGCATCCAACACTGTAAAAGATATCACTTTTCATGCCACCCTGTGCCCGCTGTGTCTCCTTGGGAAGGAAAGCACCCTGATCTAGCTTGACTTAGTGCCTCTTCCATCCCATTCAAGTCATTTAATCTTGGAACAGTATCAAGATAGCGATCTCCCTTTAACCTCCACTGAGGGGACGGACACAAAGGGACAAACTCCCCACTTCATCACTCAGCGACAAGCAGTGGTGGCATGCCAAACAATCCCATTAGCCTAAAGCCAAAAGCCTGGGGACAGAAGCTATGTCCTGAATCAACCGCAGCTCTCTGCTCATTTGAACATCCTCTCTCCACCCAACATCCATGCACTCACGTGTCAGCATATATAATGAACTCACTCAGCGCTCCACTCTGCTGTTACTCTGAGGAAATAGGCATTCCCATCACTCTGAGTAGCTTTTTACAACTCAACACTGATCAATTAATGACAACGAATGAGACCCTATGAGATATTCATGCAGGAATATTATAGTGATGCTGGGAGAAAGAGGAGTGCAGGGAGAACATAATAAACTGTGAATTGCAACTCACAGCAAAGGCTAAAGCAGAGACTCTATTGCACTCACGTACATATTGATACATCGTAAAGCTTGTAATGAAAGCAAAGGTCGCTGGCCTCATATAGATAATTTACTTCACTCCCACATACAAGTGCCTGTCACAGAGAAATGAGCTGAGACTTAAACAGCAACCAGCGTAATTAGAAATAGCACACAATGTATCTCACTTTAAGAGTCGAGGGAATGAAAAGAAAAGTCAAAGAAAAGTTAAAGCAAGAAAACAGGTTTGACCCAGTCAGTGAAAAAATGCAAAGAGTAAGAAGGAAAGGAAGAGGAGAAGGGAAGCGGATAAAGTGCAGCAGAGGGAGGAGGAGTTACTCACGGCTCCTGTCACCTTTCCACCTCCAGCTTCCCTTGTGCTTCCCTGAGCCGTCCCCTGGTACACACAGTCCACTCAGCACCTCCGCCAGCAGCACCAGCAGCAGCAGGGGTGTCTGTCCGCCGGCCATGCCTGCGTCCAAAGCTGTCACTGGGGCTACGGCAAAGAGTCGAAGGCCATGGGGAGTTCTATCCCAAACTCGATCATATCTCACACAGCTGTATGGAGAGATCCAAAACAACAACAAAACCTCTTCCAGCTGCTCGGCTTCCCTTGGAGCGTTAGCCCGGGGCCAAACACTGAAGCCCCAGAGGGGTCACACACTCCTTTTCTTAGAGAGCGATAAGAATGATCCCTCTGAAGGAAATAGCGTCACAGAACAGCACTAGTAGACAGGCAAAGTAAGCCTGGAGTTGTAGAGCCTCTCTCTGAAATATTGATCTGGTCCTTTTCCCCGCTCTGCTCTCTTCCTCTTCCTGTTTTTCAGTGCCTCTTGGAATTAGGGATGTCTTTATTGCAGTCCTGGTCAAAGCCCCAACCTGAGCTCAGAACTAACAGCTCCCATGAGCAGAGATGGCACAGGAAGAAGCAAATTGTTTTCCCTCTTGCAGAGCAGAACTTGTTGTAACAGTGAGGACCGGTGACACAACAATGATCCAGAAGCAGCCAACTCCTGTCACTTGCACCAGGCAGTGACTGAGCGACTGTATCCAGGAGTGTGTGTGAATGCATGTGCGTCCTCCCCCTCTCTCCTCGTCCACCTACCTACTCGTCTCAGATCTCACGAGGCAGTGTTGATATGAAAATAAGGAATAAATCACAGAGATAGTTCACTACAGAGCAGCCTTGACTTTGACAACAGAGCGTCTGAGAGAGAGAGGAGGAGAGAGAGAGAGAGTTCATCTAGCAAAGGTGGGAGGGAGGGAGGGAGATACGGAGGAGAGAGACAAGCGTGGGGGGTGTGAGTGCCAATTTCTCAAGTGCAATACCTCTTGCGCTTTTGCACGCCCATGATGCTTGTTTATCAATGTATTTTCATCATGAATACCCACACAGTCTGACTGAGACTCAACCAATGTCACATGTGTGTGTGTGTGTGTGTGTGTGTGTGTGTGTGTGTGTGTGTGTGTGTGTGTGTGTGTGTGTGTGTGTGTGTGTGTGTGTGTGTGTGTGTGGGTGTTAGTGGGGGGTTGCTCCTTAAGCAGATTTACTGTAATCTAAGGCTTTCACTGATTTAAAAAACAACAAAAGAGAAACTGATCCACCTGCATGCCCTACCCCCCGACCTGCCAAACATGCATCTGTTTAGACAAGTACTGCAGACCAGTTAGACTGGCTGCGTGGCAGTACATCGTTTAACTTAATACCTGCAACACCGTTTAGAAAAGATGCATGGATGATAGCAGCTTTACAAAACAGTTACACTTTGATATGTATGTGATAGCCACGATAACAAATGGTTAGCTGAAATTGGCATCACTTGTTTAGGTGAATAATTTCCCTGTGTGTTCCCCGGGTAAGACCTGATGAATGGCTGTGCCCTTACTGTTCATTGTTTATACTATTTTATTTACCTGTATTGGATCTTTGTGACTTATTTGTGCACTTATTATCTGCTTGCTTTAGAGATAGCATGCTAATAAGTTAAAAATTAAAGTAACGGTTAGATTAAAGACTTTAGGCCGCAATTACAGTACAGTAATTATGAAAATGTTTAATCAATAACAACCTCGAAATAAATTGCACTAATTTACATTAAGCAAAAAACATTCAGATCCTTGTATTATTTTTGGGAGACTTGCCTTTGAAGTGTTTTTCTGAGATAATTTTTTTTCCCATTGAGCTATTAACAATATGGAATAAGCAAATTACAACTGAAGGATCCAAAGAGCACTGGGATGTGGCCATCAGAAATACTTTATTGGTACTTAAAGTGCTGGCTACAATGAAAGTGTTAACAAAAATGATCCTTAATTATTCCACAAATAACAGTACTTTTTTTATTTCTTAAGGTGTCGTAAAATCACATACAGCATGCACACACATCACACCACACACACACAATAGAGATTATTTTGGTAAAGAAACGAGCTCAGCAAGTCTGGGTTTAGTGGTTTAGTGTTACAATGCCCATTTCCTCCCGCTGCCGGGCTGTCAGGAGGCAGGTGAGTGCAGGTTAACGTGGGAAACTGGAGGTGGCTGCTGCAGCATCACCCCCTCCCTCTGCTCTCCCTCATGTCTCTCACATGACCTTCATAACCGTTGTGTGAAATGCCATTACCAAGTGTAAACTGCCCCTAAACAAACACAATCCAAACCAAATGAATGGGAATGTACAGTGTGCAAGGACAGTTTGAGGAGGAGGGAAGCATACATTATGAATACTGACTTGTTTGAATAATGCTTTTTATAAATAACAATTTTGTTGAATGGTGTGGACATTGCCCTATAAAAGTGTCCCTGTTTGATGGTCATGTAATCCTGATGTAGTGGCCCTTAAGGAGCAAGCCCCTGGAGGTGTAATTAATCATGTTACATTAGCCACTGATGAAAGTCTGATTAAAACAGCTCTCTAATGATTAGGCCTCGGGAATAATTACCACTGCAGTGAGGACGGCCACTTCAACCCCTCAGGACGCCAATCAACAATTCTACCTGTAAAATGTCACAGCTTATGCCAACGGCTTAGAGACTTGGACAATGCAAAGTGTATGCTGGGAGAATAAATGATGCGGCAAGTTACAACAGAGGCAGCCTTTACTGACTGTTGACAGGTAGCCTAATGTGTATGTTTTAAGATGAATTGTATCTTTGTTCATATGCAGCCTGAGAAGAAGATTAGCCTGAACCAAAGGGTGTGCCACATGTGGATAAAATGCTGAGCAAAAACAAACAAATTACGTTATTTGTCCGGTTACAGAGAATGGATACATTGATAAAAGATGACTACGTAAACACTCACAGGTATTAGAGATTTAAGTCTGCTCCTTTTGTTTTGTTTCACTCCCTGAGACAGAAGAGAAGCAAGCAACAACATGTGATGCTGATGTCACTAACAAACTGTCATTTCATTGTATTAGATACAAGCTGAACTGCACACATTTTGAATGCTGACAAATGCTAAAGTGTCTTAATACACTACAATTCAAAGTGTTCCTATTGAGTCTCATTGAATACTGTTGCTAGCTAATTCACACATCCTGTCAGTCATGATGCCACACAGTCTCCAACTCTACCTTATCTTGTCATCCTCTAGTCTAGATACTCCTGTAAGGCATTCATCTTTATGCATTTGACATGCTGATGGGGGAAAGCAATACATATAAGCTGCCCCACAACGAGACTTGAGCATATTGTGTCTCTAAAACTGACATGAGGGGACGAAAGTCAAAATGAGGAACATAAATCTTGGTTTAAGGTTTCCTGTGCAAGCAACCTTTGAGAATATCTAACAAAGTTCTAACGCCTCCTTCCTCAACAGCATTGCCAGACCCCATACCCCCTTAACCTTCAGTTAAAGAGGAGCCTCAGGTTTATACTCTGCACTGGGATTGTAGGCTTTAGTCTCCAAATACTCAATATCCAGTGCAACAATAAACAGAGAGTGAAAACACGTTCACACCACACCCTTTGTGTACAGCTACAACTGTTAGGTGCAGCTACAGACTTGCAGCGCCCAGCTTGAAAGAACTGCTAAGCCTTGCAATTATCATAACCTTAGATCAAATGACTACCCCCAGGAATAAGCTTGATAAAATGTTTATGGTTAGACAAGTATCAAAATGCTTAGTATTCATATTATATCCTTCCCTGAACTCATGTTTTAGTGGCGCAACAGTGAGCTTCATGCTCTGGCTGGAAATTGCTGCCTAATGGTCTTGAATAGCTTCAGGAGCTGGAGAAAAGAAACCCGCACGTACACATAAACATCGTTTAGATATTCTCTGTATGACCTTGTGCATTAAAATGATTTAATAACTGACGCCTCATTGTATGTTATAAACCCTGGTCAAGGTGGTGGTTTTCTTTTTGTTGTATCCCTATCTTACCCATGTTTTCTGTGAACATCATATTTAACAATATCAACGAGTGTAACCATTTTTTCATAAAAAGGAAAGCTGACAGAGAGAACATCTAATTAAAGATTAATGTGTGACATGAACATGCATCTTAGAATCAGAGCTCAGCCACTCTGCCTTGAAGAATGCGATCCTCTCTTAAAATCGTGTCCTCTCTCCCCTGTGTCAGTATGTTGTTTGTGAGGAGGGAGCTCACATTCTGGCCAACGTGATGCAGCAGCAGGGGTGATGGGTGGCACAAAGACACCCAGCAGGGATGAACAGGCGGAGGACTGGACCCTGGTACACAGCTTGGAGCACAGCATGATAAAGGGGATTGGCACCCACTTGCTGCCACTCAGAAACTCCCACATGCAGGACAAAAAAACTGGGCCATGAGAAGAAAGACTACTTTGGAGTCAGATATTTCAATTGTAAAGCTTCTGTTGTAGGATTTGACACAAAGGGAGAATGTTTCTTGATCCCAACATCAAGCAGTGATACTTGGGTCAGTGGTACCTGCCGCACTTTATCCTCTTACATAAGTACATCTTGCATATGTATTCAATCCTCTTTCATAATGCTATATCAAACATATAGTACAGCATCCTAGCTGTTAAAGAGCATCTTGCAGGTTTTTATTTATTCTACATTTATGCTTAAACTTGCTTGAAAATTACAATTAAAAAAGTGAATGCAGGATTTGATATGTTTTACGAG